GTCTGTCCCGCATAATTGCTCATCAAACTCTCCACTGCACTACCCATCGAAGAGGTGAGTTGATGTCGAGCGCTGCTGCCCATCGACGAGGTGATCTGCTGTCCAGCCAGGAAAGGCCAACCGCCCCCGTCGCTCTCCATAGCACACACCTTTCTCTCCTCACCTACCGTTGTCTGTCCTCCATGATTGCTCATCAAACTCTCCGCTGTACTGCCCATCGAGGAGGTGATTTGATGCCGAGCGCTGCTGCCCACTGACGAGCTGATCTGCTGTTCAGCCCCGAAAGCCCAACCGCCCCCCTCGCTCTCCATACCACACACCTTTCTCTCTCCATACCCTACCGTAGTCTGTCTTCCACGATTGCTCATCAAACTCGAGAGATGCTCACTCCTTACCTCCAGCATCGCCTGCATCGCCTCGCCGGGCTCGCCCGAGCCTCCTCTAACGACGCTGAACGACCACCATCGCCGCTCCTTCTCTCTGATAGAGTTGAAATCCCTTCCTATCAATCGTTTCACCTCGTACAGCAAGTTCTCAGATCTCCGCAGCAGTTGTTTTTGTGCTTGCTCGCCCACCAATCGCTTAGTGTCCGTGAATGCCACAGCTGACGGAGCTGCAAGTTTACCGTACACGTCCGGTATGACCTCGACCCTCCCATTGCGACACACTGCCACCGCGCAAGACGAAGTACCGAGATCAATAGCTATACGAGGTGGCGGGTTGTCGCCAGTCATGGGTGTCACACTGGAACTTAACACCAGCGGCAGAGGTGTCCCCCTCCATACAGTGCACACGCGATAACATTGCTCGCTATCGCGATCGGAGCAAGCGGACTGTAAACCACATCCCGGTGAGCGGAACAGGATGCGCGACATCTTCCTTGCTGCCATGGATTCGCTTCCTCTTTTTCCGCTTGACTGTCGCCTCAGCACTTCATTCATCTCCATGACCTCTCCTAAATGATAATTGCCCCTCTACTCTCCCGGCTACTCTCTTCCTGTTATGCCTTTCCTGTCCACTTTTGAGGGGATAAATTGTAGAAAGAGCCCAGGCCAAAACCTTTCCTGTCGACTTTTGGAGGGATAAACTGTAGAAATAGCCCACGCCAAAACCTTTCCTGTCCCCTTTTGATCGTTTCGTTGTGCAAGTTGTTATCTATCTCTCCTCCCTTTTCCGATCCGACTCCTCGCACGACTTTCCATCTCACTCAGACTGACTGCTTATCCCGCTCCCCAGCTCTCACCAACCCCCCCTGCCTTCCTTCTTATTATTTGAGCAAAAAAAAGTTCCTTCCCCTCTCTAACGAATGGCAACTCGTGTGGTCTCTCCGGACAATTACGCCTTCATTAACGGGAAAAGGTACAAGTTAAAACCCCCCGGGGCGCCTAAACCGTTGTATTCGCTCCTCCCTTCTTACGCTCTGGCCAGTGGCCACCATCACTATCCTCGAACGCGCCTCACTCTCCTCGGCCCTCTCGCTCCTTCTAGCATCCCTTCAGCTGGCCCACTACCTTGCGCAAGAAAGAGGTTTCCAACTTGTCCCTAGTGCCACTACTGCCCCTGTCCTATCCTCCCTTCTACTTCGAGCACCTTTTTCCTCTCTTCTACAAAAACAGAGTTATCTCTCGGCTTGAAAAGTACTGTCTCTCCATTTGTGAAGTACTGTCTGTCGGCTTGTTAAGTAATGTCTCTGGGCTTGTAAAGTACTGTCGTCGGTCTCGCTACCGTCTTTCCGCGAGTAGAATGGACGGTCATTATGTCCGTATTTGTCCCACCTGTCAGTCCAGATGTCGCGAAAAGGACAGTACGTTCTATTCGGGTGAAGACGGGTACTTCTCATGCGCTGTGCGGGAAGCGTCTGTGTTGAAGTGTTCCCGCGTCTTCCCCCTACCTTCCTTCGACCTCAGACCAGCAAGAAGCGCGCCGGGATGTTTGCGTACCAGACAGTACGTTCTATTCGGTCGGCGGGCGAGAAAGCTCTGGGTAATGGAGCGTGGGGAACTGGCACACCAGCCAGAAGCGCTGCCGGGATGTTTGCGTAACAAGAGTGCCTTGGCAGTGTTCTCTGGGAGGGACATAGCAGTCAGTGCGCACAGGAGACTGATTGGACGACGGATTTTGAGTTTTCCCGGGAACTAATGTTCGACGATCTCTCGCGCAGGGGCCTACTTTTCGTTGCATACTCAGTCTTTCACTCTTTTCGTGGATTTTTTTGGTTTCTGTCCTATCGCGGGGAAGAATTCCAGGTTTTATTGCGTCATACTCCACAATGGAACATGTCCGCCCTGGAAATGTTCACTGAATCTCTGTGAGTGTGTGTGTGTATGTGTGTGTGTGTGTGTGTGTGTGTGTTAGAGAGAGAGAGAGAGAGAGAGAGAGAGAGAGAGAGAGAGAG